CGTCTCCACCATTATCAAAAACCGGATGTTGTAAGAAAGAAAGAAAGAAAGAAAGTAATGGACTGAGATAGATAGATAGATAGATAGATAGATAGATAGATAGATAGATGAATGAAAAATGTTGAGTGAGCGTTACATAGATCAATAGACAGAGAGACAGACTGACAGCGTTGTTTTTAAACTCGGCAGAATTGCAAACTGGATCGATCGATCGACCCATCATTTTACCACCCCCTCCCGCTCTATTCTGATCGCGTTTTGCCAGGCATTTCCTTTCTTGTTTCTATAATACAATACTGTGAAGGGGAAAGAACAAAATTTAGTTGGCTACATCCTAGTAATTTGGAGGAATGCTAGAATTCAAATTCATCCAAATATAAGTGTACCGTATTTTAGTTGTTGTTACGATCTAGCAAAATATATTTTCCCGGGGGAAAATAATGTTATTATTACTAGTTATCAAAATAAAATAATATTCCTTTACACTATCCTTATTTTTTATGATTCTGTGGTGTTTTACAAAATATGATTCATGCCATTTTTTTTTAAAAAGATCATTTACACCCCAAACAAGAAAGCCACAAATCTTCAAGGGGTTGCCGAGTGTTAGAGAATATGAGAAAAATGCAATACTGTGAAGGAGAGAGGACAATAAAAGAACAGAAATTAAGAAGACAGAAGATAACGATTGATATTACATTTACATTTTTTACCATAGAACTTACTTGCACGAAAAAAAAAGCATGATTACTAACCTAACCCCAACGGTTAGGGTTTAGGGGTTAGGGTTAGAGGTTAGGGTTAGAGGTTAGGGTTAGGGTAGCGGTTGGGGTTAGAGTTTAGTGTTTGGGTTAGTAATCATGCTCTTTTCAAAGTTATGCAAAATTTGCACATTAATTATTATTTGCTTTATTTTTAAATTAAAAGAAAAGCTTTATTTAATTTGATTTTGTAATTTAAACAGAAAACTTTATTTACCAATTGTCACTGCTTTCCGACAGTGCGCAGTGATTTACACGAGTAAGATCAGTAAAGCAGTAAATAGGCCGTTAATTACGCCTCCGCCAGTAAAGTGTTCCGCAGTGAATGTAGTTAAACAAGGCCCGTAATGGCGGACGAATGAACGCGACTGAGTCCGAATTTTTATTGTTGAAAACTTCAAAACGGTAGGTTTTATCAAAATCTGGGCGTTATTTTCGTGTTCAGCATATAGATTTACACGGAAATATGACGATTTGGGAAAGTTATAATCGATTTTCTTTTCGGGGCTTAAAAAGCAAATTTACTCTTTTGATATCCGAACGTTTTTTATGTAAGTACCTGCAATGAAGTTTTTAAGAAAAGCGATTAAGACAGCCTGCTGTAGCAATTAGGTTTAAACTTGCATTGACGTGTTTAAACCGGTTTGAAGAGTGCGGTATATAAAAGGGACTGGCTTCAGCGAATTATGTCATATATTTTGCCTGAACTTATTATAAAATTTAATGTATATAAAGTCAGCACATGTGACGAGGTTAACTAATAAACATTTGAAAGCATTTCTCTTGATTGGATGCATAATACCAAAACAAATATTAATTATATATTAACAGGCAAACGACAGTTTCACAAATCTTACTAACTTTTTCTGCTGCTTAGTTTGTGAGATTCGAATATGTGCGAACTTGGTGGGATATAACTTTTTTATTGCTATTGTCACCGTCTTGGATAACCTTTTACTAAATAAGTATGTTTGTTGTCTTTATTTGTTGCGCATTCAGTGTATTTTATTGAACAAAATGATTATCCGGGCCACGATCGCCATTCTCTCCGTTATCTGGCCCCCTTTGAAAACAATTGGGTGACCCCTGTTCTAGGGTATGAACTTTTTCCACCTTACATCACTTATCCCACAGACCTTGCTAGCTTCTCACTATTCTTTCGTCATTGCTATGGCAAATGCTTAAACAAGTTACTTTCCTTAGACCCACCAGCGCAAACCTAGAACCCACCATGCCATATTCACGATGGAAAATCATCTACCTTCCCTTCGTGTTATTTTGGTAAGGAGTAAGTTCCACAGAGACAGATTCTTCCCTAGAAGAGTTACATTGTGGAACAGACTCCCGAGGAGATGCTTCCCTAACCACTACAAGGTTAACGTCTTCAAGTCTAAAATCAAACGTTATATACTCATGATATGCACATCTTGCTCCTCCATCTTCTTTAGCAACGATCCAATTCAGTAATCCTCTACCTTAGGTGACTCTTAGATTTTGTATTGAGTAAACAAAAGTAAAATAACAAAAAAAAAATGATCTTGATGTTGGGATATATAGAACGTCGTACTGTTTCTCGCAGATGAATTTCAAATAAGGCCAACGAGCTCAGCTTCTCCGAATTCTAGTCAAACTCGTTACATTCATTTACGGGAAAATACCCTTAGGAGATGTATGAATCCATCTCTTCTCCCCACAGCTATGGGTTAAGTAGCAGGGCAGCAGTGGTTGGCAAGCAGTCTAGGAGAGGGACTACTGTGATTTCAAAACAGTAACAATCATCTATCGTCTCTGACCTTTAGCAAAGAGAATTGTAAAAAGTAGAAGCAAATCTTGGAATATATATATATATATATATATATATATATATATATATATATATATATATATTTTTGTGTATATATATATATATATATATATATATATATATATATATATATATATATATATATATATTCCAATATAAGCTTTTACTTTTTCCATTTCTCTTTGCTGAGGGTAAGAGACGATGGACGATTTTTACTGATTTAAAATCAGAGTATTCAGACATTCTGTGTGCTGCACAGAACAAATACATCACTATTTTTCATAGAAAATATGCATAATCCAGGGGACGCCCATTTTCTATGAAAATTTCTCGGATATTCAGGCCGGTAAATGCTTTTAATACTGTTTATTATAAACAGAACATTTTCTTAAATATTTGTATCTATAAAAGAACTATAAAAAAAATATATATATATATATATATATATATATATATATATATATATATATATATATATATATATGTACGTTTGTTGGGGAGAGCAGTAATTTTGTTAAGAAAGTTGAAATCGGAAAAAAAAAGCCTGAGCGTAGATTAATATTTGGGTAATATTCTATGGCGGCACTCCTAGAATTTTCCTTCTGAGTGAGTTATTTTTTTTTTAATTTAAAAAATGCTACACACACACAAACACACACACACACACACACACATATATATATATATATATATATATATATATATATATATATTAAGAGAAATAACCAGGTTGAGTCTACTGTTAAGGCACACTGTAAAGAAAAAATGTTCAACGTCATATAAAATGGCAGAGATTATTAAATTACGAATTAAAGTTCAGGCGAACGATATATATATATATATATATATATATATATATATATATATATATATATATATATATTACTGTGTTCTGAGACTGGAGTATAGTCTCCAGAGAGCAGGCCTGGTACATGGTATTTTGAGGCTGTGTGATGCACAGAACACATGCGACATGAATTTCTCGTTATCGATCGAGCACTATAGAGAAAAGGGTAATTTCAAAACAGTAGCCACCGCTATTAACGCACCGCTCTTCATTAATGAATTGAGTCCTCTGACTGTTGACTTTTATATATATCCGTACGTAATATGTTAAAATTTCCTTTCCTCTGCCGTGCTACGATAGCTTAGGTGTAGGAAGTTTGACTGATGTCAAATCGTTCGGTTTTCGAGCCCGGCTTCATGCAATCGGATGTCTAGCCACACTGATGAGCTGTAATACAACGAAATTGTGGGTGACTATATGCATAATTTTGTTTTAACATTCCAGCATCCCTTCAACTTCATGCGCATGTGTAGTCGCATCAGTGTAAATATTAGTCTGATGAAGTCTTAAAGGACGAAACGTCTCACACTAAATATTTTTTCACTCTGTTATAGATTTTCCTAAAATTGTTCTGATACATAAAAATTTATATATCATTTTTTTCCTATATATATATATATATATATATATATATATATATACGCCCAGAACATTTTTTGTCAAAGTTAAAATGTGGTAGTTATTTCTGGCGACATATATATATATATATATATATATATATATATATATATATATATATATATATGTGTGTGTGTGTGTGTGTGTGTGTGTGTGTGTGTGTGTGTGTGTATTACTCAATTCTCCCAAGCACACTGATAATGCCACTAAGGCGCAAGAGACTACCGGGTGTGAAAGAGAATGAGAAAACTCTAGAAGAAACCTGAAACACGAGACATTGATAAAACTCTGCCCCTGTTCAAAAACCGGACAAGATTATATAAAGCCAAAGGAAAATCTTTTCTTTACCAGCGCGTTTCGTCCCTAAATATAGAGATTTTACTTTGCAACTTTAAACAGTGTAGATAAGTCAGGGAAAATTATCGGTAAGTTTTTATTTTTTAAATTTAAGAACGCTTTAAACTGTGTCGTTGAAAGATGAACTACGGAAGTGATGTGATTTATTGTCAAATAACCGAAAGTGAGATATGTGATATATATATATATATATATATATATATATAGCATTGAAGTCAATACTCAGATGCGACAGACTGTTTCAAAACTAGACGCAATCGTCAGGCGGCCTGTCGATTGCGTCCAGCATGAAACAGCCTGTAGTCTCTGAGTATTGACTTCAATGTTCATTTTATATTTATGTTTACATAACGCTTTATTTCTGATACTGGCCACCTTATCCCATAAATATAGCACACCTTAAAACTATATTTCTTATATATATATATATATATATATATATATATATATATATATATATATATATATATATATTGCAAGAGATATGAAATGATTCGTACATGGAAATACATAAGTCGTAATGTAAACATAACTTATTGTAAAAACTTCTTTCAGAACTTTTGCTGTTGTTTACTTTCCTCATTTGAAAGTACAACAATCTATTATGAAGGACACTGCAATCATTTCACGAATGCAGCTGATGTCTTTGTCAGTGTCATTTGAGATTATATATATATATTTTTTTTTTTTTTACAAAAATCAGTAAAATACATTTGATAAACCAAGCACCTTAGAAAAGAACTGATAACTACAGCAAAAATTAATTAAATGTCTTCGGGTCGAAGTTAATTGTGAACTATAGAAAATGTTTGAAATTAAAAGGAACAAAAATCTTAAAGAAATTAATTAATTTTCACGGTGGGCGATATCTGATCACGTGATAGTAACAATAAAAAAAACGCAGCGAAGAAAACGAAAAATAATTAACCGTATCCCTGCTTTCAAGCAGGGCCTCGTTTTCAAAACGAGACCACAAATGAATCTCATTTTCTTCCAAATTACAGACGATAATCGAAGAAGGATTGCTCGGAGGCTAAGAAATTGTTAGCGATAATTAAAGTGACACGATATAAGGGGAAAGATAATAAAAATAACTAATAACTGGAAAGAAGGAAACTTTAATAACCATATGGAATTGCTGTGGAGCAATGGTTAGCAAATCCGCCTCACTGATCACTACCGTTTTAATAAGTTCGAGTCATACTATGCCACACTAGTCTAGATTTATCAAAGAAGCACACGCTCGTCATGTTCTAAGAGTTAATAAAGAAAACTTGATTCCTTTAAGAAAATATCAGAATAATCTGAAGTGTTTACTAGCAAGGAAATGTCTGCGTACAGATAGAAAATAGACTGGGCATGTACACAAAAATAAAGATGGATTCATGTAACGTAAAGATGGAGTCCAAAGCGAACAAGAAGTCCTATCAGGATTTATTATCAGTCAGTATAATCTTAACAATATAAGGCAAGCTGATGATACCGTGTTGATGGGAAGCATAGAAAGAAAATCAGAACTCTTAGGCAGGATTGTAAAATGAAAATAATATATATATATATATATATATATATATATATATATATATATATATCAGTTGCAAGAAAACAAAATTGAAAAAGAGACAGTCAGAGCCGAATTATTCAGCCTAGGGCCCAGGGCTGGATTTTTTCTTTAGGCTTGTATAGGCTGTAGCCTAGGGCCCAGGCCTGGATTTTCCTTTGGGCTTGTATAGGCTGTAGCCTAGGGCCCAGGGCTGGATTTTTTTTAGGCTTGTATAGGCTGTAGCCTAGGGACCAGGGCTGGATTTTTCTTTAGGCTTGTATAGCCTGTAGCCTAGGGCCCAGGGCTGGATTTTTCTTTAGGCTTGTATAGCCTGTAGCCTAGGGCCCAGGACTGGATTTTCCTTTAGGCTTGTATAGGCTGTAGCCTAGGGCCCAGGGCTGGATTTTTCTTTAGGCTTGTATAGCCTGTAGCCTAGGGCCCAGGACTGGATTTTCCTTTAGGCTTTTATAGACTGTAGCCTAGGACCCAGGGCTGGATTTTCCTTTAGGCTTGTATAGCCTGTAGCCTAGGTCCCAGAGCCGGATTATCATTCATTTTGATTCCTTGGGGAACATAGGGCCGCAACAACACTTCTGCAACGGAACGATCCACTTCAGCTCGTCCCATGTCGTGTCGGCTGCCTTCATCTCTTCGTCAACACTTCTGCGCCAAGTCTGTTTTGTTCGATCCACTTTTCGCTACACTTGTGGATTCCAGTGTCACTGGAGGAAGGCAGGAGTGTGTGGCCGATCCAACCCGATTTCTATTTATTGATGTCAATCTCGATTGGGGCTGGTCTGGTCCCGTCCCACAATTGGTCGCTGGAATCAACTTCAAGCTCCCTGATTTTGTGGATGTTCCTGAGGCATAGGTTGGTAAAGTTTGTGGGCGTTGGTCTTGGTTACCCTCCGGGTCTCTGAGCCGTAAATGTAGAGGGTCGTTGATCTCGAGATTGTCTGACGTATTGGAAGCGTGTCGGGCTTTGTTGCCGGATTATACTTTAGGCTATTATAGGCTGCAGCCAAGGGCCCAGAGCCGGATTATCTTTTAGGATAATATAGGATACAGCCTAGGACCCTTCAAGCTTTTATAAAGCAGTGATTTTAATTTTGTAGATGTTATAACTACAAAATAATTTCATAAACAGAAATTATATTAATATATGATACTCATTATTTTGACATGGCGGGAAGCAAAGCAAGGAAAAGAATATTTTAGTTTGTGTCATTGTGTTTTAAGTAGATAAAATGTTTGATTTAGTTCAGAATGTTTAAACCTTACAAATTTTTACAAAGTAGTGATTTTAATATTTTAGATTTAATAACTTGATTGCTTTATTGTTATAATGTTGGTTATAAAAAAATTGTTCTTTTTTTACTACGGGTGTTTTGAATAGAAGTGAATGAATAAAATAACAATATAAAGGAAAGTCTAGTTGATTTAGGAAGGCTGCATGAATATTTAAGATTGTGCTGCAAATAAAATATGCAATATCCCACAAACATAAATTATAAGAAATGGCCAAATGGTAACGATATTCAATCACGACAAAAATACATGTCTGAAACAACAAATTAAATTTTAAATACACAATTTACAATTTCTTTGTTTGTAATGATATGTGCAAAAGTATATTGTAGAGAAAAAGTTCTTTGTTGTTTCGGAAATGTTCAAAGTCGAAAAATTTGTTTGCCTTTGATTAAAAATAGGTTTCAAGTAGATTTTTAAAACTTAGATTTTTTTTATGAAGCAGTGATTTTAATTTCCTACATGTTATAACTTCTAAATAGTTTCATAAACTGAAATGATAAACTCATATTTATTTGACTTTACAGGAAGCGAAGCAAGGAAAAGTATGTTTTAGTTTGTCATTGTGTTTCAAGTAGATAACATGTTTGATTTTAGTTCAGAATGTTTAAACCTTACAAATTCTTACAAAGCAGTGATTTTAATATTCTAGATTTAATAACTTCGAAATAGTTCCATAAACTGAAATGATATCAATATTGATAAAGTCATATTTATTTTGATTGTTTTATTATTATAATGCTGGTTATAAAAAATTGTTTTTTTTTTTTGTTTGTTTTTTTTACTACGGGTGTTTTGAAGAGAAGTGAATGAATAAAATGACATTATAAAAGAAAGAAAGAAAGAAAGAAAGAAAAAGAAAGAAAGAAAGAAAGAAAGAGAAAAAAGAAAGAAAGAAAATGATTAAATAGAAGTAAACAAAAATCAAAGAAATAACGAAACAAAGAAAGAAAAAATGAAGAGAATAATTAAATAAATGTAGGCGAAAAAGTAAGAAAATGTTTGAATAAACGAAAGCAAAATAGAAAGAAATAAACAAAAAAGAAAATGATTAAATAAACGCATGCAAAAAGAAAGAAAAGAATGATTAAAATAAACGAAAGAAAGAAAATGATCAAATAAATGCAAGAAAAAAGAAAAAGAAAGAAAATTTACTAATAAATGAAAGGAAAAAGAAAGAAAAAAAAGAAATTTATCAAATAAATGCAAGTAAAAAAGAAAAAATAGGAAGAAATATAAAGAAAGAAAAAAGAAAATTATCAAATAAATGCATATAAGAAAGAAAGAAAGAAAGAAAGAAAGAAAGAAAAAGAAGAAAAAAGAAAGAAAGAAAATGATCTAATAAATACAAGTAAAAAAGAAAGAAAGAAAGTAAAGAGAAAATAATGAGAAGCAACCGAAATAGTCGATAATGTCATTATGGAAAGGATGAGAAAAGGGAGCAAATAAAATATATGGAAGGAGAAAATTGTAAAAAGGGAGAAAAGCGAAAAGAAAAAAAAACGAAATTTTTCTCGTAAAAGAAGAATGAATATAGAAGACTATGTTGAGCGCTACTAATTGGTTACATTTTGAGCTCTGTCCAATCCTTGCAGTAATATCTACAATCGACCAACATCAGACCTTACGACTGCTTTCATTCAGTAGTGATTGCTTACTTACAGCGTACTGGACTCGTCTTTCAGGTAACTGACTGAGTGCCACATAAATGCAACTCCTGGACATTAGAAGGTCACCGGTAGTTTGCGGGCGTAGGACCAGATTATGATTGGCTTCGCAGAAGGAAAAGAAGGAAGGAGGCACCGTCAATTTCATGTAATTTCCCTTTTGTAAACATTTAGCCAGGCAAGACGTAGAGTCGGCACGGGAATCACCCAGTAATCTTACAACTTATTTTCAAATTCTTAAGACCATTATTGTTGGTGAAACTGTCACAAACTGCTCTCATTTAACCACCATAAAGAAACTTTTCTGCCTGCCATCAATATGGCTGACGCTAGAATCATGAAGAGCAACAAACTGCGCCTGCTTGGTCTCGTGTTTTCTACTGACTTGAAGTGGAGTGACTACATCAAATCAATAGCTGTATCTACTAGAAGGAAAGTTTTATGATGTCAACCAACACTGGTCGCAACTTTTGTAATACCAGCTACTCGTTATCACTTTCGTAATGCTCGGTGTAGTAGAGACTTTGTAATCGCAGATAAAACTATAGTACGCCGTTGAACAATGCTGGTTATAATAAAAACAGAACCAGTGAATAAACTTATACTAAAGATTTATTGCACTTTACACTGACTACTCGTCTACTGACGTATATACAGGAGGCTTTTATACCTCCTAAATCTTAAGGGGAGGTAACTGATTATTTATCAGTACACTAGTATCAGACGCCGCCGAATAACACTCGCACTAATAGTACTTGCTCGATAATATTCGCTCGAAAAGTAGCCACCGTATAGTGATCCATATGAACAGTATAGTGAATAGAGTAGAGAACTGCTGTCCGTATAGTATAGAGGATAGACTAGAAATAGCCATCCGTATAGTAATAGAGGATAGAGTAGAGATTGCGATCAATTAGACGCCAGGCTAATTCCTACTTATGCGTTTCCTCTATGTCCACGTTGTCTACTTAATTCAATAATGTGTTTGCTCACTGGCGATCTATGTTCAAACTCAAATGTCGGCAGTGGCACTGTCATCCTATATTACAGAAAGGTGGGTCACTGTGTCGTGCCAGAAAATCTTTCTAGTTCTCCATCTTGTATATCTACAAAACTACCATTCGCCCGTGCATTGAATACTGCTGCTGTATATGGTCTGGTACTCCTGTTATTCATCTCGAAGTTCTTGACAAAATCCAAAGAACGATCTGCAATGCAATCGATCCTGATCAAGCATCTAGACTTCAGTCATTTTCTCAACAGCGTCACATGGCTTCCCTCTGTCTTTTCTACAAATATTTTCATGGCAACTGCTCTGACTAGCTTTTTCCCCTGTACCCAAACTACATGAATTTAAGCATGCTACTAGACTGGTATCTAGGTTCAATCCATTTACAGTTGAAGTAGCTAAATATAACCGCCACTTCTATTCCAATAGGTTTTTTTTCTCGCACTTCCCGCCTGTGGAAGTCCCTTTCGTTTCCGTGTTTCCCTGACAACTACAATCTTCAAAAATTTAAATGCAACATCATTTGAATTTTCTGTCTTCTTGAATCCTGTTCATCTTTTGTCCTTTCCTCAAGCCTCCCTATACCTAATCTTTTCTCTCATTTTCCCACCCTGTAACCCTCTGCGTACTAGTGGCATTTCCGCCTTGCTTGGGGTGAAATGATAATTAAAAAACAAAAACACACACACAAGCACAAATACACACACAAACACACACACACAAGCACACACACACACAAAAAAAAACAAAGTTAAATTTGAACTTTTCAGCATCCCTCGTTCGTGCGCAGCTGTAGCCGCACCAACATAACAAATTTATTTCGATAAAATTTTCTTTGACGAAACGCGTCACACGAAAACTTATACTTTTTAATACATGGGAGGCACGGTGGTGTAATGGGACGGCTCGGTGGAGTAATGGGACGGCACGGTGGTGTGATGGGACGGCACGGTGGAGTAATGAGACGGCTCGGTGGAGTAATGGGACGGCACGGTGGTGTGATGGGACGGCACGGTGGAGTAATGAGACGGCACGGTGGTGTGATGGGACGGAACAGTGGAGTAATGGGACGGCACGGTGGTGTGATGGGACAGCACGGTGGAGTAATGAGACGGCTCAGTGGAGTAATGGGACGGTACGGTGGAGTAATGGGACGGCACGGTGGAGTAATGAGACGGCTCGGTGGAGTAATGGGACGGCACGGTGGTGTGATGGGACGGCACGGTGGAGTAATGAGACGGCACGGTGGTGTGATGGGACGGAACGGTGGTGTAATGGGACGGCACGGTGGGGCAATGGATAGCGGCTCGAATTGAGGAATCGGAGATTCCAGTCGGATCCATTACATTCACTTGAGAAAGGTATGAATCCTCTTCTCACCCCCAATCCTGGCTATGGGTAAATAGCTAGACAGACTGGGTTCTATAACCTTGGGTGGCAACCGGTCTAATAAAAGGAAAAACTCTGAATTCAAAACCGGCCTTCTACTTCTACTGTGGATTCAGTAAACATGGTGCTCCTATGGATCACGGGATAAAAAATACATTTTCCTTAATATTGTTCCTGATATATAAAAATGTATATATATATATATATATATATATATATATATATATATATATATATATATATATATATATATATTAGTAGTAATCTTATAAGTATAAGAAATTATGCTCGTTCGGAAAACCTTCAGTGTTTTAATTTGAAAATAATCAAACCAATACCAAAGGGAATAAAAGGTATAAAAAAAGAAAGGACAAAGAGCATGTACGTTATCCGAAAATAATCGTCTAGCATACAAGTCCAAAGCACAAAGAAAAAAAACGATACGAGTAGGCAAAATAACTAAATAAACTGCTGAATACGGTAAGTAGAGCAGACCTAGTTAAACCTAGAGAGCCAGAAAAACGTACCAAGGTTTCACCTAAGCGGATCATCAGGGAATATGCGTGTGTGCGTGTGTGTGTGTGTGTGTGTGTGTTTGTGTGTGTGCTTGTGCGTGTGAATTGTCTTCATTTATTCCTACATCGAATAATATACCGGACACTTAGAAATATTTCTGAAATCCAAGTTTTAGTCTTAGCTCTTCAGCTACTTTTCAAATGTATGTCTTCTGTCTTGTTTCTTGTTAAATATTTAATTATCTTGTATATTTATTGAATTTTTTTTTTTTTTTTGAATTTTTAATTCGGATCGATTACGTTCACTTACGTGCTAATACCCTTGAGAAAGGTATGAATCTTCTTCTTCCCCCACCGCGAGCTATGGCTAAAATAGCAGGACAGACTGGGTTCTATATTCTTGAGTGGCAACCTGTCTAGAGAAGGAAAAACTCTAAATTCAAAACCGGCCTAGCTAGGATTGAACTCAGGCAAGCTATCTTGCCCAAGAAACACCAATTCTACCGTGGCTGCAGTAAAAATGGTGGCCCTACGTGTCACGGGATAAAATATACATTTTCTTTAATATTGTTTCTGATATATAAAAATGCCAATATTTATGTGTATGTGTGTATTTGAGTATGTGTGTGTATGTGTGTATATGTGTGCGTATGTGTATGCGTATGTGTGTATGCGTATGTGTGTGTGAATAGTCTTTATTTATTTCTACATCTGTTTTCTATATAAAATGGCAATATTTATGTGTATGTGTGTATGTGTGTGTATGTATGTGTATATGTGTGTATGTGTGTGTATGTGTGAATAATCTTTATTTCTACATCTGTTTTCTATATAAAATGGCAATATTTATGTGTATGTGTGTATGTGTGTGTATGTATGTGTATATGTGTGTATGTGTGTGTATGTGTGAATAATCTTTATTTGTACATCTGTTTTCTATATATGTATATTTATGTATGTGTGTATGTGTTTGTGTGTGTGTATTGTGTGAATGTGTGTATGTGTGAATAATCTTTATTTCTACATCTGTTTTCTATATAATATGGCAAAATGTGTGTATGTGTGTGTATATGTGTGTATGTGTGTGTATGTGTACATCTGTTTTCTATATAATATGGCAATATTTATGTGTATGTGTATGTGTGTATGTGTGTATGTATGTGCATGTATGTGTGTATGTGCGTATATGTATATGTATGTACGTGTGTATTTGTGTGTATGTTTGTGTGAATAGCCTTTATTTATTTCTACATCTGTTTTCTAAATAAAATCGCATTATATATGTGTATGTGTGTATGTGTGTATGTATTTGTGTATGTGCGTATATGTGCGTGTATGTGCGTGTGTATTTGTGTGTACGTGTATGTGTGTGAATAGTCTTTATTTCTATATCTGTTTTCTTATATAAAATGACAATATTTATGAGTATGTCTGTATGTGTGTGTATGTGTGTGTCTGTATGTGTGTATGTGCGTATATGTGTGTGTATGTGTGTGTGTCTATGTATGTGCGTATGTGCGTATATGTGTGTGTATGTGTGTGCCTGAATAGTCTTTATTTCTACATCTGTTTTCTATATAAAAATGGCAATATTTATGTGTATGTGTATGTGTGACTACGTACGTGTGTGTGTGTGTGAATAGTCTCCAGTTATTTCCACATCTAATAAGATTCTGGACACTTAGAAATCTTTTTGAAATTCCTGTTTTAGTCTTAGCTTTTCAGCTGCTTTTCTGTCTTGTTTCTTGTTAAATATTTAATTATCTTGTATATTTATTGATTTAAATTTCTTTTTCTCCATTAGCCTGTATAAAAATCATTTCGTCAGAAATACTGATCCTCTTGGCGGTCACTGACATTCGAGACTTCTTTGATATGGACACTGTCATTTCTGAATGTTTCAAAGGTCTTTAAAATTTGTGTTTTCTGATAAAGCTTTTTATAGGAACTGAATAAACAGAGAGATTCTTTCAACAGAGAAACTGCTTATGCAGGGGTTGTTTATTGAATATTTTAGGTTTTTGTTTCAGTCGCAGAATTCTTTCTTTAAAGATATCATTCCTGTTGCCGATACGCCATATTTATATACTAAATTACCAATGCCTTAAAAAGAATTGTGGTAGAAAATGGAATTTCATCTTCTTCTGCCACCTGACTTAGCACCCTCAAACTTCCATTTCTTTCGACTAATGAAAGAGTCACTGAGGGGAAAATGTTATGGTGATGCTGAGAAAATGAAAAGTGGTGTAAGGAAATGGCTACATAAGCAGGCAGCTGAGTTTTACGATGATCGGATACGTCATCTTCATACATAGTTAGAACTCCGCCACTGAAAGAGGTAGTGACTATATTCAAAAGAAGGGATGTGAACCAATGATGTATAGCTGTATCCTGATGTACGATAAATTTGATTGTGTTCCTTATTTCTTATGCAATACAACAAATTGCATTAATTTTTTAATAAAGTTTCAGACTAATCAGACAATTTTTTTCTTTTTTAAAAATCTATGACAAAAGTCTTTTCGCCTGAAAAAAACTAAATGATATATATATATATATATATATATATATAACGCTAAATTCATATATATATATATATATATATATATATATATATAATGCTAAATTCATGAATACGCACGTGTACAAACGGAATGAAAAAGACGGGGAACAAAATGAAAAAAATTGAAAAAAAATTGGAAATACTGTTTAAAACCACAACCCCTGAAGACTTGAAATTTTACCAAGAAACTTCGAAGTCGTATGAACCGTCTCAGCTTACAAATTATCTCCATCTCCCGGAAACTCGAAGATCTCTTTGTTTCCTGGGGTTTTTTAATTGTTTTATCTCCTTAATATTGTTTTTATTTTCTTTTTGCAAGGGCTATGAATTCTTTTACTCCCTGTAACACCTGCCTCGCGTCTTACTAGCTTTATTATCATGTTTGGGACGAAATGACTTTTAAGAAGCATGGTGTGCGGTCCTTACTCTAAAGATCTGAACTGGCACAACTAACGAATGAAGCTATTCTGAATATTTAGCAATTGGGTAGCAATTGGCTTGTGATGTTGCGTTTGTGGGAAAGTGGTCACGGAGTAGAAAATAAATCGTCCCTGATACGACATAGTAAACGATTTGGTGCGAAAGTAAATGCAACACGGCGACACGGAAATCTCAACATGCGACACGCATTATGATTATTCCTGGTTAGTAGTTCTGATATGTATGTCTGCTAGAAGAATTAACAGGTCAAAATGCAAATTACAAATTCGGGACACAACAATCAAACAAGTGCAAAAATTTAAGAGGAAAATAAATTTTACGTATTTATTTTCGAATAAACACGCCATACATACATATATATATATATATATATATATATATATATATGGATAGCGGCTCGGATTGAGAAATCAGAGAGCCAAGTTCGAATTCCAGTCGAATCCATTACATTCACTTACGTGCTAATATACTTGGGAAAGGTATTAATCCTCTTCTTCTTCTTCCTCCAGCTATGGGTAAATAGCGGGATAGACCGGGTTCTATAGCTTTGGATCGCATGTGGCCTACCACAGAAAGAAATGGCAACCTACTGCGGGAAAGAAAAATATGCCTCGTCAGTCATGTATCGAAACATACATTATCGTCTAAGCGTGTATCACGTATGGCACATACCTGACTGACTTTCCAGTCGAATCCATTACCTTCACTTAGGTGCTGATACCCTTGGGAAAGGTATGAATCCTCTTGTTCTTCCCCCAGCTATGGGTAAATAACAGGACAGACAGGGTTCTATAGCCTTGGATGACAACTGGTCCACCGCAGAAAGAAATGGCAACCCACTGTAGAAAAAGTCTACCTCGAAAGATACATGATCGACTAAGTGTGTATCATACCCCTCTTCCTCGTTATGTGTCCAAGGAATTTAAGCTGTCTTTTCCTAATTCTAATAATAGTGTGTGTGTATGTGTGTGTGTGTTTGTGTGTGTGTTTGCTTGCTTTGTTTTGTTTTGCCATTTTCTTAAAGACTTCCTCGTTGCTTAATCGCTCCGTCCATGGAATTCTCACTATCCTTCTGTAGAACAACAATTTTGTTTGTGAATTATCTCTCATATTACTTTCATTATTTACATTATTCGGACTGTTATCCGCATCTTCATTGCCATATTCACAACGTTTCGGCCTCTATATCTCTGAGATGAGGTATTACGATTACTTACATTATTTACATTATTCGAACTGTTATCCTCATCTTCATTGCCATATTCACAACGTTTTGACCTCTATAGTTCTGGGATGAGGTATTATGATTAGTTGCATTATTTACATTATTCGGACTGTTATCCTCATCTTCAGTCATATTCACAACCTTTTGGTCTCTATATCTCTGAGATAAGGTATTACGATTACTTGTATTATTTACATGATTCGAACTGTTATCCCCATTTTCATTGTCGTATTCACAACGTTTCGGCCTCTATAGCTCTGAGATGAGGTATTATGATTACTTACATTATTTACATTATTCGGAATGTTATCCTCATTCTCATTGCCATATTCAAAACGTTTCGGCCGTTCTATTCTCAGGCCTTCTTCAGGTAATTGGA